ATGGCTGAGGCAGAGGGTCAGTGGGCAGGAGGAAACCCCACGGCAAGACGGGCGGGCACAGGGGCTGCAGCACTGTGCTCAGTCGCGAGGCTGCCGTAGGGCCCGCCGGTGCCCTGTTTGTTGTCTGTCCCCGAGGTGAGTCCCAGTCCACAAACAAGAGCAGTCTCAGACTGAGAGAGAAAGCAAGACCGGCGGCGTGCCGTCCACGAGGCCTGGATTTGAGCGGCACACACAGAGACGCTGGAAAGGAAAGGGGTCCAAGTCACCCCATGGAGGGTGTGCGTAAGGAAGGCGCAGGGGCTGTGCTCAGGTTTAAAAACAGCAACCACAACAACAGGAAGACGGGACAATCTCCTCTTAGGACAGCGCTTCACTGAATCCCAGAGGCTGAGCAGGGATTCAAACCACAGCCTTCCGAGGGGACAGCAGTGAAGGGAGAAATCCGGAAATCCACCATCGCAACTGGAGGCGAGGCTACCACCTTCCTCCTGGAATTGACAGGACCGCGTGTGCGCGTGCAATAAAAGACGGGGGAGGAGTGGAAAAGGGGGGCTTCGGGCCGGGAGGAAAACATTTGCCGAACACATGTCTGGCAGGGAACTTGTATTCGGTACGCATCTACAGGGCTCTCGGAGACCACAGCCCCAACAGCCCAATGGAACGGGGGCAAACGGCCGGAGAAGACGTGGCCCCCCGAGCCCCACCTGTAGGGAAACAGAGGCTTCAGCGCGGCACGCATTCTTCAGACTCTACGAAGACGCATGCTGGGATGCGTGCGTTTGGCTGCGCACCAAGTCCACTTTGTACCAAGCCTTGTGGCGGGGGACAAAGAAGACTTGAGGCGGAATCTCGGGTCAGCGCTCAGTCTCGCTGGCCGGGGACCTGATGGCCGTGCTCAGCTTGGGTTCTTCCTCTGAAAAGGTGGCTGAGGATGATACGCACCTCACGGGGCTGTCGTGGAGAGGGAAGCTTGGCTTATGTTCTGACTCAGAGCGACCCTTGGGGTGACAGCTGAACTGCTCACGGTCACTGCTGTGCCTGAGCCCCTCGCTGCAGCCACAGCGTCTCTGGAGGGACTCCCTCTTTTGTGCTGACCCTGTTTTACGAAGCATGATGCCCTTCTCCAGGGACTGCTCTCCTGGACGGCAGGTCCAAAGTACGTGTGGCGACGGAGATGGGACACAGCAACACAGAGCCGGTGAGAGGCACGCTATTCGGCTCTACTTCCCACCCCTCTGCCTCCTTGCCCACACCCCAGCATATAACGTTTCTTCCTGCCTCTTTCCCTAGGACAAGGGAGGGAGCAAGGAGATGGGGGCAGTCCTGGCTCCCATGTGGGTTTGAGATAGTGGAGTTGGCCTTATGTGGCTGCGAAGCCACATACGTCCCTCGTGGTATGAACAGCACCGGGGGACTGACGCTGTGCTCAGCAAAGTTACTCTCATAAAGGTCGATTATTTCACGACACTGATGCTATCAAGGAAGAAAGGTGGGGGAGGGGTCTTTACACCAAAGGGAAAGATTTGAGGATTAAGACTAGACCAGGGGATGGGGTGGGGCCTGCGGAGGGGGAGAGGGACAAGGCTGTAAGGGGGGGGGTGTCCGTGGGAAAAGAAAAAATGGAAGAAGGAAAAGAAGGTGCAGAATTAAAAAAACAACCACATACGGCATTTGGCGGGTGGGGATTTCGCACTGGGACCCTGTCCCCGATGGACAGGGCTGTACAAATGTGTAGAGTGTATTCCTTCATGTGTGTCCTCCACAGACACAGGGGAAAAACAGTAACAATGAATGAAATGAGAATGAAAACAAGGGACTGGAGGGTTACCGTCTTAACCCCCGGCCCACCTCCCTTTCCCATCAGCCCTGAACACTGGTCTGAGGGTTAAAAATGCGGGGAAAGCAAAACCGAGACAGACCTACATCTCTTTGTGACACGCCAGCGAGTTGCAAGCACACAGCCAGTCAAGAAGAGAAGAGAAAAGTGGATTAAGCACCATTTCGACAATGACCAACCCAGTACTATTTAATATCCACAAGCAAAGCCGACGTGGTTCCATGGTAGAACCATTGCCTTCCACGCAGGGGACCTGGGTGCAAGGCCCTGATGGTGCGCTTCGTGTACAGCCAGCCACTGCCTCTCTCTCACTGCTTCTAGGAGGCGGGTTCAGCTGGACTGGGGAGAAAGGCCTGGCGATGGACTCCTGCAAGCTTGCCCGGGGAAACCCTCTGGATGGTAAGTGTCTGATCCGCGTGGTCATGGGACTGTTTTGGGACGGGATAGGGTTTAGTGCCTCGGGCTGGAAGCCCGACAGCCAGCAACCCCAAGTCCTGCGACTGAATGCAAATCAGAGTTTGTAAGGCTTCATGTGAACCGACAGCAACGCCCGGCACCACAGGAGCCCTGACGGAGTGGTGGGCTATGCTTTCAGCCACTGACTGCAAGGGCTGCCCGTCAAACCCACCAGCTGCTCTGCGGGGGGGAAAGAAGAGACGGTGTGCTCTGCTCTGCACCCGTGAAGACTGAAGACTCGCAGTCTCGAACGTTATTAGAAACCATTGGACTCCTGATACCTGATCCCTTCAACACCTCATGATCACACAGGCTGGTGTGCTTCTTCCATGTGGGCTTTGTTGCTTCCAAGCTAGATGGCCGCTTGTTTACCTTCACGCCTTTAAGACCCCAGACGCTATATCTTTTGATAGCTGGGCACCATCAGCTTTCTTCACCACATTTGCTTATGCACCCCTTTATCTTCAGTGATCATATCTGAGAGGTGAGCACACAATGATATGATTTTTTGTT